GCACAGGGCCCGGTTTTTTTTTTGTTTTTTTTTTCCTTTTTTTTTTTTTTTTTTTTTGTTTATTTTTTTTTTTTTTTTTTTTTGCCTTTGAAAGCCCCCAGATGGGAAAGGTACGAGCCAAACCCCACTGAAAGCAGCCAAGAATGAATTTTCTGGCCAGGGCCCCAGCAGCTCTTGGAGCGGCGCCGTGCCCGTCCGGCGTCACGCCGCAGCGGAAACCCCGAGCGCAGGCAGGCTGGGGGAGGTCTCAGCTGGGGTGGGCGGCAAGCCCCCCACCCATCCCAGCTGCCACCCCTCAGTGCAGGGATGCCACCCCTCCCAGCACCCCAAGCTGGAACAGTGCAGGCTCATCCTGCTCCCACCGAGCTGCAGCTTGGCTGGAGCCCAGACACCCAGATGTACCCCCCAACACTGTCACGAAGCCCCCCACCCTACAGCCATCTGCTGCTGTCGGAGGACAGGGTGTCCCCACTGTTGTAGCCCTCAGCCAGCCCTGTTACCCAGGGCACGGGGCATCTCAGCTCCCAAACCTCCCCTCCCATAGGATGCGACGGGAGGGATGCTCCCCCCCCGGGAAGGCAGATGCTCTCCCAGAGCTGGGCTGGGGGTTCGGGTAGAGCAGGACCAGCCATGACAGCATCCCTGCCCCTTTCCTTCCCCCGTTCCCCAGCCTCAGCGGTGCAGAAGGGTTAAAGCATCCCAAGCTCCTTGCCCTCCTCTACGCACCCCCAAAGAGCCTGCAGGATCTTGTAAAACCAACACCTCTATCGGCACAAGGCTGAACCCCAGGGGAGCAGCGCCCAGGGTCTCAGTTTTGAGGGCGTTTCAGCTGGAGGGGGGACAGGTGGGGGCTGCCACTGCTCTGCTGTGACCTGCATGCCCAGTCTTGAGCTAATTGTGCCCTTGTCCTTCATGCCTTTTCCCCACTGGTGAAGTGAGGGTGGGTATAACCCCTCTGAGGCTTTCTGCAGGGAGCAGGTACCCAAATCTCATCCTGACACAGAGCCAGGAGGAGACCCTCGGGCACCCGCTCCCCACACAGTCCCGACCACCTCCGTCGTCAGCGCCTGCACAGGCCCTGCGTGTCCCTGCAAGAGTGGTGGGGACAGAAATCAGTGTGTGCACAGGCTGGCTTCTTCCCCGAAGGGGTGATGGAGAAGGATGGGGAGGCAGTGTGGGGGCTCGGGGGGGCTTTTTTCTGCTCCCCAAGCAGTGCCTGGTTGTGCGGCGCCCAGCCCCACTCCGCACCGGCCCCTGCAGAGCTGTGCGGGTGTGCGTGCCTGCCATAAATATTGATGGGGTGGACTCAAAGTGTGCCTTTATAGACGGCGATTGGGATGTAAATGCTATAAGTACCTGCTGTGTGGGCAGGAGAAATCCGTGTAGGTGATAGCACCCGGGCTGAATGCACAGCGGCTTTTTTTTACAGGGAGGTGGGATCCATCCTGCATGGGGTGGGGAGGTGGCAAGCGGCCGGGCGAGTAACCCCAGGGGTCATAAACCTGTTTGGGGAACCGGCCGGACCCGCAGCGAGCCTAAATCTTCCAGCTGAGACTGCAGCCCACAGCCCGCTCCCCGCACAGCCCTGCCAGGATAAACAGCGAGGGGCTGCAGCGCCTCTGTTTAATAATGCATGGCACAGAGGCACAGGACACACGCTGGGAGCCATGGGGACACGGAGTCACCACTGCAGCACTCGACTGGTGGGGTCCGTCCCGGTGTCCCCCAGTGCTCATGGGATGTGAACACCTCTGGGTGGCCCTGAGACCGGGGCTGGGTGAGCAGAGCTCCCCGTCGCAGGGCACAAGCCAAGGCACCCGGTTGCACAGCGGCTGGCATCCTGGGTGCCCTGGAGCTTCTTAGCTGGAGCCTGGATCTGGGTCCCTGTCCCCTTGGGCACTTTCGCTGAGAGATTCAGCCCCTCCATCACTCTCTTTTGCACAGGCGTAGGTGTAGATGGTCTTTTTGGGGAGTTCTGGAGGGCTGAGCAGCACCGGGAGCACCGTTCCCTCTCTGGCATCCCCCTGGGACACCACCATGCTGGGAACAGCTGGAAGCCGTGGGCTCAACCCCCTCCTCGCCCCATCCCTCCTTCAGCCGCAGCCGCCTCTGCTCGCAGGCTGTGCCCGGGAGGAGCAGGAGCTGTGCCGGGGCCCTGCAGGCACCAGTTCCCAACCAGCTCCTGCAGACGGTCGTCCCTCCCCTCGGGGGACACCCGCGTCCCTCATTGCGTGCAGTGCCGTGATCCGGCCCCGCCGACCATCTGCTGCAGCAGCTCCCCACCACCCACTCCCTGGCCCACGCTGTGCCCCACGGCACGGAGCTGGGCAGGGATGGGCTGGGGGTGCCCAGCGCACACACACACCCCACACCTTCCCCGATGGGCAGGAGCCCGGCAGGAGGAGGCAGATGGGGCTGGAGGAGCGATGCCGACAGGGACTTGGTAGCGATGCAGATGGGTCTGCAATGGTGGTGCCAACGGGGCCGTGGCATTAATGCAGACGGGCCCGTGATAGCGATGCGGGAGAGCAGGAAAAGCCGCAGCATCAGCCCAGAGCCCCTCTGGCTGCGGGGGTGCTTTGCTGTGCCCGTGGGCACGGGGGAGGGCAGCGGGCAGCAGCCTCCCCCATCCGGAGCTGGGGAGACCCTCAGGGCATGGGACCAGAAGTTACCCTCTGAGGGCAGCTCCAGGGATGGATTTGGCTCTTTTTTTCTCTGTCCCTCTCTGGTGAGTTCAGGGGGGTCTTGCCACCTCCAGTCCCCCCCGCTGCAGCTGCAGAGCTGCTCCCACAGTCAGGCAGAGCATCACGACGGAGCCAGGGTCAAGCCGTGGCACAAGCCCACCTCCCTCCCTGCCAGCCCCAGGGCTCGTGGTGCACTCTGACACCAGCCCCACGGTGAGACCCACATTCACACCCCGCACCTGGCACAGAGGGATGCTGGGGGGGCACCCACGTGTGCTGTGACTTGCTGCAGGAGAAGAGCGGTGGCCCTGGTGTACTCAGGGGCTGGCCCCCAGCATGACACAACGGAGTGACCCCGGGTCCCCCCTCCTCACCAGCAGGAGGGACAGCAGGGGTGGCAGGGGATGTCCCTGCAGTCTGCACTCAGCCGCCGCACTGGAGGGTCCAGCTCCAGCCTGATGCTCCAGCACACTGGTGTCTGTCCCCATCCCTGTCCCCGCCGGGTGCCAGTCCCAAGGGGCCGGGGCTGCTCTTCAGAAGCTGCAGCTGCTGCATGTTTTGTGCTGCCTCTTCCCCTTCTCCCCGCTGCTGTTTTTGTTTTGTTTAAGAGGCTGGGTTACGAATTTTAAACAGGCTCCTGAAAAACCCAATTACCTCCAGAAGACAACCTGATAAAAGCTGCCTAAGTGGCACTGTGGAAATCGCCTTGTGCAGCAGCTGAGGGAAAACCAACATAACAAAGCCTTTGGAAATGGAGTTAACCACTTTTAATCCCTCGGTACGATGAGAAGGACCAATAATTATTTTCTGCCGAGATTGGGGAGGGGGAGATAAGTGAAATAACTGTCCTGTGCTAATGGGTGGCAGCGGGCAGGGCTGGCAGTGCTGCAGGGATGGGTGCAGGTATTCAGGCATCCGCTTCCCTCTGCCCAGGAGCTTTGCGAGGGCCCGCAAAGGCTGTGACCTTGCGGGGTCCCCGTGCGGCTGCAGGGGCTGGGGATGATGCTGGCAGCGGGGCAGGCAGGTGCCACTCAGGGTCTCCGTGGTGGCGGATGCGGTGGGCCATGTGGCAGCGGCTGCCAGCCCTTGTGCCCTTTCCCCAGGCACCAGCGGGGAGCGGAGCGTGGCGCTGCCGGGGCTCCTTGGCACCCGCACGGGCTCCGTGCCTGCCACGCTTCCCTCGCGAGCCAGCACGGAGGCGACTTGCAAGGACTTGGCACCGCTGAGAGCTTCCTCCTCCATCTGGCCACGGCGCTGCCCTCCCATCCCTCCCTGTCCCTTCCCTTCCTGCACACACACACCCCCCCCCCAGCAGCTCCAGGCAGCCCCCAAGGCAGGTGACACTGCCCAGGACGATGCCAGGGGACAGCTGAGCCTAAGGAATGCCTGTGCTGGGCGCAAGCGATCTCCCATCACCAGGAATCGTCCTCCAAACGCCTGCCGGAGCCAGCTCAGCTCTGGGACTGCTGGGGGTCCCCATTTCAGGGGTGTCCACAGGGGTGTGCGGGGCAGGAGGATGGAGATGATGCCCAGGGCTGGTGATGAGCCCCTGGCTGCCCTTCCCATGGGAGCCCGGCGGACAGGGCAGAGCTGGGCACCTCTCAGCCCCGTCGGCTGCGGTTGCGCTGCCGGCACTGGCAGCTGGAGTGCCCTGGGGTGGTTGGCCACAGCTCACATGCACTGGCAGCTGGGATGGGGGCTACTTCACCCACCACCCCCCCCACAGCCACCCTGCACCCCGTGTGGGGTCCCGCACTTGGGGACAGCACTCCAGGCCACTGAGCCCCAAGGAGGGGCAAGCCCAGCTCAGCGCTGGCCACTGGCACAAGGGATGGCCCTGCTGGCTTGGCCACAGCTCATACTGGGAGCAGTCCCTGGGCACGCTGGGAGCTACTGGGGGAGGATGCACTAAATGAGCCGAAGCATCTCCAAAGATTGAAAGACTCAAGGACCCATCCCAGGAACAAAAGGAGGCGTTTGTCAGGCGCTGAGAGACGGGCTCGTTAATTCCTCCTGGCTGTCACACTTATCTGTAATGAATTTGTGCTCCGCTGTATTATTTTTAATACAATAGGAGCGGTGCCGCCCGCCCACCGCCCGGCTGCCGGGAGCGCTGACGTCAGCGCCCGGAGCAGGGCTGCCGCAGGACAGACGGATGGATGGATGGATGGACGGACGGGCCAAGCACAGGCCTGTCTTGCCGCCCACGCGCCCATCCCACCAGCTGCCAGTGGGCAGAGCAGGGCTGGGCACGAGGGCAGGAGGCATTTTTTTTCCCATGGAGGTGGAAAAAGGAGTTGTTGGTCAATGCCACGGTGGAAGGAGGCTGAGGGTGCACTGAAGGGGGGGGAAAATTTTGGGGAGCGGTGAGAAGGGGTGAAAAGAGGGCCATGTGCTTGCGGTGTTGTCCCCCGGCTGGTCTGTGACGGTGGCCATGCATCAGGGAGGGAGCTGGCAGCGGGGTTGGTCGGTGCCGTGTCCCTGTGGGGGTGCTGGGCTGGCATTGCACGCTGGCTGCGGCCCACCCCCCCACCACCACCCCCCCCGGGGGCTGCAGGGTGGTTCCCCACTGCTGCCCCACATCCTGCATCCCCCCCGTCCTCCCCATGGCAGCCCCGGCAGCATCTCCGCAGCCTGCACCGCTGGGTTTGTGGGGGCGGCAGCAGCCTGTCCCAGCTCCCCAA